ATCTATTTTGTTTAGATTCATGGATTTATACTTTATTACTTGTGAAACTTACTCATCCGCTTCAGAGGCTGGATTTATTTTCTTTTTAAGGTGCTATAGGAGGTTTAGGGAAATCTCATTAAATTGGTTAAATTTTAAAGATAAGTTACAGAAATAAAAGGACTTAGTTTTTCTAACTGCATCAAATATTGTTAAAACTGTTCACGACTTCAGGCTTGTCTAGAGAAGGATTGTGATAAGCCATCTATGCATGGTAATTATTCCACTAAATGGAAAACAAGATGATAGATTAAGGATTGGTAGTTGCAGCTAACGGCTTCCTGCTGTGCTCTAGTGTTTAATCAGGTTTTATTGCAGTTTTCTCAGATTGCATTCAAATAAACAGGATAACTAGTTAATATGAACGGTTTAAAATAAACTGCAAGCAGCTTTCTGTTTTGATAAATACATAAAAATCTATTCAGTAAAAAATATAATTTATCTTTACTTGAGAGGAGAAAACTACAAAAACGTATTAATTTTCTATCTGGAACCAAACAGACTCTGTAGCAGGTGGTGCTTCAAAGTAACAATGCTCTTTACTTATATGTTCTGTATTGGATGGGTCCTTCTAAAACATGTTTAAACAAAAGATACAATGATAATAAAACTTTTTACCATGCATATGAGGTTTAATGTTATCGTTAAGATAATGCAGGATGAATATGGAAACACTCAGCAGCGTAGTTTTTTCAGCAGGAAGCGACAGCTAGCATGTTGAATGTTTTTTTTCTGCTTTTGAAAGTGTTTGCTCTGCCTGGTATCCATTAGCACCCTTAATTACTTCTTTTGTGAATGTGCAAGATGGGCAGATGCAGCACAAAATGGGGAGTTTATCAAATAGACATTCTAATTTTAACATTTACTGAATCCATAGAACATTGAAATGCAAAATGTAGTGAAACCTTTATTATCTCTGACTCAGTTAAATATTATTTTTTTTGTTTTCAATTCTGGTCTGTTCTTACAGTTCCTGTTTCATAAGCCATTGCGGATCTTAAACCTGCTGATCGGGATCGAGTCCAGCGTGGTTTTATACCAGCTCTACTCTCTGCTGCGCTCGGAGCGCTGGAACCACACGTTGTCTCTGGGCCTTATTCTCCTCTGCAACTACTATGTGCTTTTTAAACTTCTCCGAGATCGCATTGTGTTGGGCAAAGCCTATTCCTACCCGCTCTCCTCCAACAGTTCGGGGCTCAAGTCACAGTAAAGGACAACAAGACCTGGCCTTCAAACTTTGGATGTGGAGCCAGGGGTCGGAGGGGTACAGACTGTGAACTCACCTCTGTGTTTTTGATACGGTTCTATTTTTAATGCAATGTTTGTATATGCTTATTTAAAAGAATATTTTTATTTTGTATACTATTACATGTTACACCGGGCATTACAGCTCCGATGACGTCAGCATGTTGTTACGTTGTTGCCAGACAACGGGGAGGTCAGGGAATGCCTGGGGGTGACTTTCACCAAAGATCCTTTAAGTGCAAGTGGCCAATCAGATTGGACATGGCCCCAAGATGTCAGTCAATAAATTGAGGAATTTAAGAAGAACAAAAGGATTTGTGCCTGAGATCCAGATTGTTTTTGGTTTTTTTCTTGCTTCATCGCAGAATCCCTTCTCTACAGGTCATTGATTTTGGAGGCAACATAATTTAGCATCCATGCAGAAAATGCATGTCAACCTTTAGATCCTGCTCTTAGAGGAGTTTGTCATTTTGCTCAGATCCTCTTATTGGCATTTAGATGGTACAGGCTGATACTTCTTTTCGGATCGTTACAAATTTCTCTAGTTTATTCAAGATAAAACTAAAGTCGATCAACAAAATGTGACAAATTTTCCTTTTTTTTATGTTGTATATGGATGTAATGTGGGCCAAACTGGCTTTTTTTGTGTTTTATTTCATTGGCTCATTTGAACTTAGATGACTGGTGATTCTAGCCAGACAAAGACGAGAGTGGCTTCTAATTTGACTAAACCAAAATATATTCCCCAAAAATGACAAACTGCTCCCTAAAGCAGAATCTCTAAGTTTCTGATGAAATAAACATCAGCAGAATGATTTGATTGAACTGCGCTGAATGTTTTTCCACCTCGCTTCAGATCGGTTATGACTGCCGCTGATACCGGACCCTTTGTATTTGTATTTGCAAAAATGTGGAGTAGTTCAATAGACTGTTGGCATTTCCTAAGAGCGAATTAAAATGAAAACTTATTCCATAATTTGTTTTCCCAACTTACAGTTAGGAAACGGGTGCCGTTTTAAGTTCAAAGCTTGATTGATGTCTGGCCTCAATTTGACTTGCTAAATTAAATTTTCTATTACTGGTTTCTGTTTTAAAGGTATACAAAATATTGCCCCCTAAACGGGAGGACAAGTACATCCAGTTAGTCTTTTGTTGGGTTAAGATGTATAAAATGAAGGGACAGTGGTAGATAAATCATTTTGGATATACCCGCACTTTAGCCTTTTTTCAACTTTAAAAAAACGAAAAGCTGTCGCTGCTCACCGATCTGGATTTACTGTTTGATATGAATTAAAGGCAAAGTAGAGGCTGGCAGGAAATACTCTTGTAAAATTTCCAGTTCCCATATGCAAAGTTACAAAACAAAGATCACCTTCTGTTTCATTTCACTTGTTGAACACCTTCATGGTCTCTATTGCTTTCTCTGTTTAAGCTTCTTTGCTACCACCTACTTTGGTTTCAGTATTGATGAAAAGGAAAATGCTAAATCTAATAAACTCAATGCAAAATACAGGTACCAGGTTTAATCTAAGGGTTTGCTCTTTGGTGCTGTTTTTCACATTTTTCACAGGAATGTAGTAGATGGCAGCGAGCTGAGGTTGCATGTTATTGTAGCTAATTCCAACTAGCCTTATCAGCATGGGGATTGAAATGTAAGCTTTGAATGTGGTTCTTCCATCTTTCACTTGCTCTTAACTGAGTAACATCACTCGAAGGTTTTTAGATTCTGCATTTGTTTAGGCTGTTTAGGCTTTATTCCATAAGATTTGGAGACTTTAAATTGGACAAAAGTCTAAACTCTGACAGATCTCATGTTTTTTTTGATCCCACTGCTGTGAAATGTATTTGATCTTATTTGAGTTTACATAAAACAATTGTTTCAAATTGATCAAGAGATTTTCTTTTTGTTTTCTCTTGTGCTGTATCACAGGATCCAGGTTCAGATTTCTGGTTATTCTGTGTCTCCACTGGTTGAGATATAGGACCAGGATCCTTGTATCTCGGCATATGACAGTATTCAGATTCCACAAACCATTTCTGGATTTTCTGACACCTGAAATAAAGTTAATGGTGTTAATTCATGTTATGTTTTGTCTTGTAAGAAATATTTTTTTTCAAAGAATATATTTTATTACATTTTCTGTTGTCTTGGATTTTAAGAAAAGCAAAAAACAAAAAAAAACAAAAAAAAAAGGCTTAACTGAATCTAGGCTGTTGACATGAAAGGTTTTGTTGAGTCATGCAGTGCTTTGTGTTCCCACTAGAGGGCGGAGTACAACAATCAAGCCTAGTTAAACAGGAATCATTACATAACGCAAATGAATTTAATAGACTCCATTGAAATAAAAAGTATGATCATCAAAACCTTTTATGTCTACTTTGAGGTGCAAGATAGACGGGAAAAAGGCAACTTTGGTTTTACAGACGTGTACATTCATCCACAGGTAACATTTTCAGTAGAAGGAAGTCTTGACAGTGCATTTTTAAGTAAAGTAGCAAAAGTTTTAGCTGGAATAAAAGAGAACATGCCCACTCCATCAGTCTGCCTTCCACTTCATTAAAACTCACTTTAATTTTTCACAGCAGATACCCTCTTCCCCTAAAATATTAGGTTGCAGCAATAAACACATTTTCACTTCATTTTTCTTAAAGAGGTTTTCGGCCTTAACTCTCCTCAACTGGGACAAAGAAATGAATACTTATAGTTGTTTAGAAATCTCAGTGTTAACAAAAAATGCTGATAAATACTGGTATCCTCTGGGTTCCAGCATTCCAGAGGAATATGCAGTGCCTCAGAGAAGTGCCTTCAGTATATTTGGATTTGCTGTAACCAACACAGAGTAGCCTATAGTTATGAAAGGGAAGGAAAAAGATGCACAGTTTTCAATATATTTCAAGCCCCATTTACTCTTGATTCTACCAAAAGACAGTTATCAGTTGCTAATAATGGCTCCAGAAATCCAATTATCTGGATTTGAGCAGTGGTTCAGTAAACACCTCAGAGGACTGTTAAGAGGATATTACTGATAAAGCATCATAAACACTCAAGGAATACAGCAGGCAGGTCAAGGGGAATCAAAAGAAGGTGGTTAAAGCAGGGAGAGCAAATAAACTATTTTTCATTTAATTTCTTAACTAGTTTTAAGGCAGTGCTGAAAAAAAGACTTCAGACCTTGAAGGTCCATCTTTCTACAGGACCGAGTGGTAAATCTTCAATAAGTATTATCCTTAATAATACCATTAATACCTGTATTTTTATTCTTAAAGTATGATAAATTTTTTTTAGACTAATTTGAGAATCCTTTCCTGGCAAACGGTCCACATAGATATATTTTTAGAGGGCTTGCAGTATACAAAACACAAGATGGAGAATGTACCTCATTGAGTGGACATGCTATTTAGCCATATGGTAATGATGACACCATGTCATGCCGCCATAGATTAAGAGTCATATTGCTTAAATAAAAAATCCCGAGCATAGAGCCAAATCCATAATATAATGCTATTGATCTTAACAAATGTATCTGATTAGTCGAGTGAAAGTTCAGCCCCAAGTGGCCTCAACATCTTATCTATCACAGCAAAGAATGGGACGATTTTAGTGTCTAGATGTGCAAAGCAGGTAGAAATCTTTCCCAAAGACTGCCGCAGTGGTAACTGTATTGAAGGTCGGTTCCACCTAATATTGACCTTGTAAAGCTTTATGCATAATTGTCACACTTTAAATGTTTTTTTAATAATCATGAAAACTGTGCATCATTTTTCTTACACTACAACTGTGTACAAACTTAAAATGTGTTGAAGTTTGTGGTTGTAGCTTAACAAAATCTGAAAAAGTTCCTAGAGTATGGCACAGTTCTTTTAGTTACTGCATCCCTTTCAACGTCCTCATCCTTCTCTGCAGTCCACAAAGTTTCCTTTAATCCAGTAGCAAATCTGTGCATATTTAAGAGGTGTGATTCTCACTGCCACATTAAATTCCTGAGATGTTCCTTTCTTCTCTACCCACTGGTGGCCCGAAAACACACCTATCACCTTTCGCTCCCAACGCCGGCGCCGCCCATCCCACATCCGGGCATAGACTCCAGAGCCGCTGGCCCCAGGCTGAGCATCACAGTGTTGGTACAGCAAATCCGACGTCTCCTCACCAGCCTGACAGAAGCGATACACCAGCTGTCCTGGGCGGTCGTTGTCAAATCCTGAGAAGTGGACACGACGGCCAGGAAGTCTCTGAGCTGGGGGGCTGACTCCCAGCTTCATGTGGCGACGTTTGTGTGGTTTTTTCAATTCCAGTAAAGCGTAGTCGTAGTCCATCCCGATTTCATTTGCATTTCCTTTAATCCAACCTTTAGGAACATGGGTGCGCTTGGCTCTGATCCATTGGAACTTCATTTTGTCATTGACAGGTGGGGAGTATTGAGCAGCACCTCCCTCTATGTGATTGGTGAAGTTAGAGGGAAGGTAGACAGATGGATCTTGTGCATCCCGTTGCTTTGACTTCAAAAAGCCAACCCGAAGCCTCTGGGCTCCTTTCACATAGTTTTTGCCGTCATGGACACAATGAGCCGCTGTCAGAACGTGTCGTTCCCCCACTAGTGTACCAGAACATCCAGTGGACAGTTTGACCGTCACCGAGAAGGGGTACTTGAGTAGGAAGTTCTGCCCTGCAATACTGAAACGTCCATCATGTCCAAATATCTGTCGTTTTCTTCTGACGTGGGACCCCTTAGCCTTAACAGAAGACCCAGAGGAGTGAGCTGGACTGGTACTGGCATATGGACTGTAGCCATAAATCCCAACAGCAGTCTCTGTGAGTTGACCATTAGAGTGGAGAGTCTCGTAGGCCAAAAAGCTGCGCAAATCCCAGTAGCTGGGACGAGGGGCTTTCTTGTGGCATTCGGGGTCACAGGGGGAGGCAACATCCAGGCGGGCCTCATTCACAAAATGCGGGGTCGGCCCAGCCTCTGTTTGCTGGGGCAGGACCACAGGGATACGCTGGAGAATCCATTGACGCCGAGAAGAGGAGGACAAAACAGAGGGGAGGAAAAGGAGACACAAAAGGGAGCCAAACCTATAAGAAGCAAAAAGCATATTAAAGAACCTGTGAAAAGCAAGTTTAAATGTTAAATATCATACCAAATATTTCTGCAAAGCAACTGATTGAAAGTGACCGCATGTCTGGACCGCCTTATAAAACATCCTCATTCCTAAAGTCTCTATCATGCATATTTAATTACATGCATGGGAGTTGGAGAGGGTTTTTAATCTGGAGGAATTTTGATCCGAGCTGAAATTTTGCAGCGGTAACTTTCCACTGTTTCATGCAGTAAAAATGGCAAAGAAGGACAAGATCAGGCCACTGATGGAAAATTCCTGAACTGGCCTTAGGGGCTTACCTTAAACCATAAAGAGCAGCTGAAAAGCATGTTGCAGTGAAAACAAAACGGGGTGTTTTTTTTTTTGGAAAAGAGCTATTTGACCCACACATATTTATGAGTTTCAAATTATTAATTGTTTCTTCCAAAGTTCCTTAAACTTTAAGTGGGAAAGGGTTAATCATTTCTTTTGCACTTTTTACTATTAAAAAAATCATTCCATTACTTTTTTTTTCTTTTTTGTTTATATGATAAAGCGATTTAATTCTTTGTATCCATCCTTCCTTTACGCATATAAGTCCACCGCTGGAACTTACCGGGGAAGCGCAGCCTGGGAGCGCATGGTCCTGTCTCTGCAGGTGAGCCTGTGGCTGAACACCGAGGGAAATCCCCTCTATCTGCTGCAGGAAGACACACCTCTGAAAACAAAAAAACTGCGTTTTCGACTTAAAAGAGCCACCGGTCGTTTGGTATGTAAAGAAAATTCAAGCTTTACGCGGAACCGTGACGGTGTGATCGGATCCACAGCATGCAGCTCTGTCCAGGACGAATGTGCTGGATCATTGCGCGCTGCTGGAGGAGGATCTGCGGACTGCCTGATCCCCGGTGTCACATCCGCCAACGAGGATACAGAGCACCAAGCCCAGCGCTGTCATGTGATATCACATCAGTGCCACTGATTGCAGCAGCAGGGACCAGGCGAGGCTTCCTGGTTTGATCCCAGCTAAATCAAATCCAGTGCATGACTGTTCTTTTTTTGCAACATACAATTGATTCAACATAACAAATTACAGTTTTAATTTATTTGACAAAATCAACAAATAGTTGATAGCTGCTCAGCGTAACAGTGCAGCACTGCTGGCTTGCAGCAAGAAGGTTCCAGGTTTGATTCCCAGCCAGGGGTCTTTCTGCATGGAGTTTGCAAGTTCTGCCTGAGCATGCGTGGGTTCTCTCCAGGTACTCCGGCTTCCTCCCACAGTCCAAAAACATGACTGTTAGGTTAATTGGCTTCTCTTGATTCTCCTTAGGTATGAGTGTGTGCGTGAATGGTTGTTTGTCTCTGTGTTGCCCTGTGATGGACTGGCGACCTGTCCAGGGTGTAGCCCACCTCTCGCCCATTGACCACTGGAGATAGGCACCAGCACCCCTTACGACCCCATTTGGGATTAAGCGTATTTGAAGATGGATGGAAAGTTATTTTATTTTCAGCCTACAGTTAATAAAACCCCAAATTATGTTAATCCACTTGTTTCTTGTACAATGGTTCCCAAACCGGGAGTCTGGACCCCAAGTGGGGGATGATTTTTAATAAACATTGTGATGTGAACCCTGAGGTACATGGAGGGCCAAAATCATAAGTTTGCATAGGGACCATAGTGACATGTTCCTACCAAAATTTTGGCCCGACCTACTTATCCCTACCAATAATTATATGTGAATAACATGTTTATAATTTACAATACAGCGTTGTTGCAGCAGTCGCTTCTTTTCTCACCACTTGTATATTGAAGTCAATATTTTAAATGCTCAGTGTCAGTTCCTCTTATAGTTCCCACGCCCATGTAAATACAATAACTCTATTTGCAGTCTCTTGCATATGTTATTTCTGCTTTGTTTTACAATACAGAGAATATTAGCATATCAGGTTAAAAAAATGAGTGGGTTTTACCTCTGTTTACCTCTCCAATTACCTATAGAAAACACCGGATAAATACACATACAAAAGACATATTTAGACTATATTGGGTTAAAAAGGCACATATTTACTTCCGTCTTAGTCATTTGTAAGTTCAAATGTAACCCTTTCAAAGTGTAAGGTTGTCCCAATTTTACATTATTCTGAGCCACTCATGCTTCAAACATTAAAAACAGCATCTTGTGTGTGTAGTCCTTATAACATTTGTATAAATGTAGCAAAAAAAAATGCTGTTTTCTCTTTGAACAAAATGCGCCCTGATGCTTAAGTCAAACATTAAAAAAAATAGGAGCATGCGCAATGCGTAGGACCAAAGATATCAGACCAATTCAGCTTAAGACCAATAGTGTCCCTACCAAAGTTGAGATCAAACCTACGCCCTTGGCCAAAGTGCAAAGTGAAATTCATCAATGTGAATTAGAAGATGTAGCATGTAGATATGCATTTTAAAATAAACATCCCAACAAATTAAAAAAGGCACACTTAGATTAGTTAAATGTTGACCCGTTAAATGCTCTATTAAATTAAAAAAAAATATTAAAATAAAAGATTAAAATGTTAATTTATAAAGAACTTACCAGTATTCAAAATAAGTAAATCAGTTAATTGAATTAATTAATTTTAAGGTTGTTGTCAGACTGTGGCACTGTTACTGTTGAGATCACAAGCTGAAATATTTGGGAATCTCCAGTCTAGTGCACTAGAAGTAACATGATAACCCTGGTTAGGAAACAGTTGCTCTAAAATGTCTCAATATAGAGCTGCCATGACTTTGAACAAGATAAAGTGAAGCAAAAGAAGCAGATGATGGCTCCCAAATCACCCCCAACTGCAAACTTTAGATTGGTTCTCAAGCTGCAGCTGCATGCTGTAGCCACAGAAGCACTGAAGAAGAACTCCACATGTAAAATTTCCCAAATCTTAAAACTATTGGTTCACAATCTCCTCATGCATGGGTACTTTTGTTACTTGTGCAAAATGTTTTAACCCTCTACGGAAAGTGAAGCTAATTAGGCTCAGCTCCAGTCTAAATTAAGCCAGCATGGTTTTATGTGTGATGGTGAGACCACATAGAATTTTGCTGATAAACTCAGTAAAATTTTAAAACGTGAGTTAGGTTGTACAGTAAAAAAAATAAATACAGACTTATTTATGTACTTATAGAGGCACTACTGAGTTCTTTCTAATAAAACAGAGCTGCATAACTTTTTGCCCGTTCTCAAAGCTTGCGCTCACACTTGACAAAGTTTATTCTTCCCTTTTTCAACTTACCTAGAGTTGCCATTGGTGTCTGATTTGAGCTGGATAACGGTCGCTTCTGAGTATTCACAAAATTCATCTTGAAAAAACTCTTCCATTGTTTGCTTGGTTGGACCCATTTAACTTTGACACAGCTGACGCCAAATTCACAGAACAGAGCGGGACTTTCTGACCCAAAGTAAATTCAGGAAAATAGGCTACAGGCTCCTAGATGCCTCAGTGCTGAACTACTTAGGGGTCAGTCTGCTCATCAAACATCGTAAAGGCACAAATAAAAAGCTTATTTGAACCCCTTAAGGCCTATGCAATTTTTTACATACATTTTTTTATTTCTCTTTGTTATTTGGGCTCGTTTGAACCCAGTTAGAATAAAAACAAAATATATTTCAATGTAATGTACTTTTAGAGAGAAAGGATGTCCACGTATTTGGATTCATGTTCCCAAGCTCCATAAAACACAGTGTCAACATTGGATAAAAGAGTGAAAAAACCCTCTTTATTTCCACCTTCAACAAAGCAGTTTTTTTCTGCCTGCTTTTTAATGTATTGATAACACGTACAAATGTTTTTTAACATGTTCTAATTATCAAAGAGTAAAAAAAAAAAAAAAATGTAGTTTTTGGTTTAACAGTTCAAATAGATCTTTTGAAAGATCATATTGTTTGCCTGTAACAAAATATAAAATAAAAATGCAAATTATTTTTAACTGTCACTGTTGTCTCAACCTATAACTGTGAAAATCATAAAAAAATAATGAAACATAATGAAAAGAAAAAATAACTTTTTGACTTCCACAGTAGCACTGCTGGCTTGCAGCGAGAAGGTTCTGGGTTCGATTCCCGGGCCGGGGTCTTTCTGCATGGAGTTTGCATGTTCTCCCTGAGCATGCATGGGTTCTCTCCAGGTACTCTGGCTTCCTCCCACAGTCCAAAAACATGACCTTTAGGTTAATTGGCTTCTCTAGATTCTCTTTAGGTGTGAGTGTGTGCGTGTATGGTTGTATGTCCTGTTTGTCTCTATGTTGCCCTGCGATGGACTGGCGACCTGTCCAGGGTGTACCCCGCCTCTCGCCCATTGACTGCTGGAGACCAGCACCCCTCGCGACCCCAATTGGGACAAGCGTGTCAGATAATGGATGGATCGATGGACTTCTACAGTTACAGTATGGCTCATGAAACTATGCATTTGTAGTGTAAGAAGAAGGATATGTGAAAGACATTAATCATTATAGGTACGAATGCACACCTTAGAAATCACTGCCATTACCTATGCGTGAAAGGCTACTCAGTTTTCACGGACAACACAACACTTTTCAGGTCACATAACACACTCTGGTTCTTCCAAGGCCACAGGTTGCAGTGCAGTGCAGTGCATAGTGTTCTTCAGGCTGATTATCTCTGGAAGGTGGGCATTGGCTCCTCTGCGGACTGAGACATGAGACAACTACTTCACATGACATGTGACCCCTTAATTAATTTCTTCATCTGAAGGTTCTGACAGGTCTGCATGTGCACCGTCATGCTGGGTCAGGAGGATCTTGGCCCCTTTCATATGGCACTATAGTAACTGGATGGGTCTCGTCTTTGGTCCAGTAATTACTGCATGGTCATTTTGGTGTAGGAGCCAGCTGTTGGCTAAAGCCAGAATTATGAAGTGATTACCATCTGTAATGTCTACTTCTAACTGCTCATGCGATAGTAACTTATTCTGTTTATCAAATCCACTCCATACATCTTCATACTTGTACTCACGTACAATGCTTGGTAGTGAGACAGTGACGTATTTCGATTTCTTGTCCCAATGCTGGCAGGTGTCCTCTGGCAGTGCACCATGAACAACAGACATAATCAGAATTGGTTTGATGTCGCACCACTTTACTGCACATAACTTTCCATCTTTAGTGGAAACTTTTTTCTCTTCCTGCATTTTTCAGGGCTTTGTCCCTGGGCAGCTTATGGTTAGCTCCAGCTAGTCTGTTCTTCATTATTGTGCCAGTCATATATAACTCCTTTTCTATCATGTGTTATGCACGCTTGATGGTGGTGAACAACCAGTCACAAAACACTTTTGTACCACAATGCAGAGTTTGACACAAAAGCTCAACGACTAAGCTTCCCACACCCAGGTTCCTCTACCTTCTCAATTAGCACACTGGTAAGGGATTAAAGCAGGCATCCCCAAAGTCGGTCCTCGAGGGCCGCTGTCCTGCAGGTTTTAGAGGTTTCCTTCCTCCAGCACAGCTGATTTTAATTACAAGAGGATTAACAGGCCTTTACTCAACTGCAATCATCAGAATCAGCTGGGCTAAAGCAAGGAAACCTCTAAAAACTGCAAGACGGCGGCCCTCGAGGACCGACTTTGGGGATGCCTGGATTAAAGCATCTATTTTGTCTAACTAACGTTGAAAATGGCCTTTCCTGAACATGTAGCTTTTCCCTTTTGTTTCTGGAAAATTGCTCCAGTGGATTTATTTTAAGACTTGTGCACAATTGTGAGTGAAGTGAGGATTTTGATAATATTCTTATTCTTGTCAACGGACTTTAAACCATAAATAACAGACGTTTTTTTTTTTTTATTAAACAAGTTTATCAAAACACAAACTTCTGATTTATCTCAGTTTGGTGTTTATATACACTTAATAGTTAGAAGAAAAAAGGGAGTTTTCAATATTTGA